ATCCTACCAAATTTCGTTGTCGCGCACATTCGATGAGTTGGCGTACAGTACGTTCAGAATTCTTGCAATCATAATTAAACACCATTTCCACTAAAGACATCAGCTGGCTGCGAACGGAGTCTGACAGTTGTCTGGAAAATTAGCTTTAGGAAAAGCTCGTATTTATGATGTGTAACAACGATTTTTGTGACAGAGACACCAATATGCAACTAATTTTTTGTCTGGATGAAGCGTCGATAAATGGGCAATAAGGATTTTGATTTGAAAAATATAGAAATTATGCTTTAAAAAAAACGACGAATCAAGGCAGTATCCATAAGTCTCTCACTATATAGCAAAAAATATATAAAGAAGGAACTAACCCATCACCACCAATTGCATGATGAGTGAAAGCTAACAAATCAGCAGCACGTCCACTTCCATCACAAACTACCACTGGGATTCGTGGAATGCTGGAAGACGAAATACTATTGCACTCCAGTATTGCAAGATATTCTTATAAAAATTGATTTGTAAATTGTAAAATCACCTTGTTATATAATCATGTACAATTTTTATAGTAAATGCTCCTCCTTCTAGCACAACACATACGACAGGAATAGAATAAGTGCTATTTTGTGCTAAATATGTCTCTAGACGTTTCCTTAGAATGATCTCTGAGCCATATCTGAAAGAAAAAACAAAATGCTAGTTTCTTGTGGACCTTACTACAGGCTATTGCATACCGTCCGACAGTCCCGTTATCAGCAAATACAAAATATGAGTGTCGATCGTTTAACTCTGCTAATCGGGATTTGTTGAATTGGTTTGGCGCATAGTGAACTGCGACGTCCTTGAAAAAAACTGACTATATGGTGATTTTTAGATCAAAGTTATGAGCTCACCGTTCCAACAAACCGATTCCTCCTCTTCAACATCCCCCATGGTGCTATACCAATTGCTGTAACTCGAGTTCGTGAACGTGTTGATGATCCCAAGTCTTAAATAACAGAATATCGGATTAAATATTTAAATCTAATTCATCATTTCATCATTATGCCCTCAGAAAATAATTCAACACGTTTTTGAGAAATTTTCAGTTTGCGCAATAGTCGTGAGTAAAAACGAAGGCAAAAAAAAGGATCAGAACGACTCTTTGCATTAACAAATTGGCTGCAATTCGTAATTTACTGAAATTGAGAACTTAAAGATTT